CTCATCTAGTCTTGCTTTCAAATTCCTTTGCTGATCAAAAATAAGAAGTCAGGCAAAAGGTAGTGTTTCATCTTTCAAACTAGTTTTTCAATATTTTCCATTCATTGAAACTAAATATTGTAGTGTGTCTTTTTCCGTGAAATCTCACAGATTCCACCTGAATGCCTAATCTAAAAAAAAACTACACGTAACTGAATCGAAGCTAAGAAAACTGAAAATGAGTAAATTGAGGCGACATCTTTGCAATGGCAGAGAAAATCACACACGGAGGGACAAATCAAGTTAATGGAAAGAAACAACGTTACAAAGATATCAACACTCTTTTAATCATATTCAGAATAATTTCAACTGGAATCTCTCTGGTTCTGAATAGTTTAACTTTTAAGCTTTGTGCAAGTGAAGAATTACAATAATTCAGCTTCTCATTGAAAAAAAAATATATATATAGAATAAACAAAAAACGAACTCACAAAGACAACAGCTTCCATAGCCCCGAGCACAAGATCCAATAACTCTTCCGCCACGATCCGAACATTCTCTCTAAAAAAAACAAAATAAAAAACTATGAATTCAAAAGGAATCATGTCAATAAATAAAAAAAAATCCCTCGATCGCTGATGAGTTTTCGAATAAAACCGACGTATGGTTCATCGTATCCCGTGAACAATAAAGAAACCGGCCCCTCAAAAAAACGTTATGCAATCAACCTTGATGTAAAAGTTTATCTGTCCATCAAGTGACCGAATAAAACCCAGTTTATCGGCGAGACGATCGACCATATTATTATTTTTTGATATTGTCACTGTATTTCGAGAAAGTAAGTTTGAAAGTTTTGATCGAATCAGAACAAATATAGGAACTGAATTTGAGGGTTTAAAACCAGGAAAATAAATAATGAAGCAACGAACCCAAGGCAAACAAGTGCCTTTGCTGTTGAGAAGATCGTCGCGTCCTTCGCACATCGAATGTGCAAATCTTGCCACTGTCACCATGGGGACCCAAACTTTAAAATATATAACATAAAAAAAATTTGTCTTGCCATCAACAACAACAAATCGAAAAAAACAAACAGATTGTATACTCACATCGACCCCGACGATGAGGCGAAAATGGAAATGTTTCTGGACCTGACCTGAGTTGAACTGAGTTGTCTGCTGATTCCGGCTCCATCACGTTTCGCGAATTTGTTCGTGATAAAGATATTGAAATTATGATTAAAGTTGTCGCAAAATGCATCGTAATAATCTTACACTGCACGTCTCAATTTTTTCTTCTTTTTTTTTCTACGAGTTCTCAAAACTTTGGGAAGAGCGAGAATAAACATAATGTAATTAATTATCCCCCGATTTTGGTGAACACTTGATTCATCGAACGACGAAACACTTGATTCATCGAATGTTCCCGCCTTTTTTTGCATTAAATTCGTTTTTTAGTTTTGGCCATTTTCTGATATATTTTTAATTGCTCAGATCACAGGTTCAAATCGAGTAGATTGAGGCATATCATTTAAGAGGAATTCACTTCGCGAAAATAAGGTTTATTAACTGCCAATTGATGTGATGGCAGGTTTTCCTAAAATTTTGGACGTTATTTTAGAATGTAGAGCCATAAAATATTCAAAAAACCTTTTTGAAACTTTTCCCTGACAGTGTCTTGAATTTAAAAATTAATTGATAAAAGTATTCGGATGCTTCAGTTTCATCACTGCTAAATGTGGAAATCGTCCACAAAGGATCGGCAAAAAAATTGTATATTTTGCATTAAGCAATCTTTGTGCCTCAAAATATTCAGAAAACATTTTTGCAATTTTTCCCTGACAGTGTCTTGAATTTGAAATTAAATTAAATTGAGAAATGTATTCGAGTATTGACGCATTCCAGTTTCATCGCTCCTGAATGTGAAAATCGCCCAAGATAATTATTTAAAACATCGTATAAAATCATTACAAATATATTCCTTGAGTCTTTTTCATCATTGTCACAATGGTTGAAAAATTCCGAATTGAAAATGCGAATGTACAAAGAATTTAATTTCATATGCGGTTTGACTTGTGGAACTTCGGAATCGTCCCTGATCTTGTTTGATTTATTTTACTTCTCTATAACTTCGAAACCAAGACGAAAACAATCTCCAACAAAAGAAAAGGAGGAAAGACGAAGTCAGTTCGAACACAGGTCATCACAGGTCAAAGCCATGATCCCCGCACCACAAAAAAAAAACACACAGAGATTCCAATGCCAAAAACTCATCACGACTGACTTCAGAACAACAACTGACCGGACTGAAAAATGCTTCCCTTCTCTTCACAAACTTTTCCGGCCTCCTCAGAACCTAATTAATCTAATTACGCCCCCCCCCCAATTCCCTCCTTGTGTGTTATTTCCACTTCTCAGTGATAGAGAAAGAATGCTGAAAAAGGAGGCATCTGAAGCTGGTGGAAGTGTGTTAAGTGGTTGGTGCTTGGAACCACTTGGGGGAGGTTTTTAATTGGGTTTACGACTTCGTTCCAGTTTTCACCTTCACGTTTTTGTGAGTCATTTCGCACTGTCTCCAAGGCATTTCTCACTGAGAAGTAGCTGTAAATCGTAATAACATGTCATAAAAGAAAGACATTGAGTGTCATTTTTCAACACATGCCATATGTAGACTGAAAGGAAGGACCTTAAAAGAAACACCTGATCACAGAAAAACTACATGGGCGGAATCCTTTGAAAGTAATGATGCTTGTGAAACTTTCTCTACAGCAATTAATGGTTCAGAAGTTTTGTGAGTACCTTTTGGAAATGAAGTTCTCAAATCAGAATTATCTGAACTATGTATCATGGAATCAATGGAACAGAACTTGAAGCAACAACATACTGTATCTGTTCATTTTGTATTGTTATTTTATTTCAGCCCTGAATTGAGCAATTTCTTGTCCAACTACATTTTCTGACTATTTCCCTATCAGCTTGCCTAATATAAATAATTGCCAAATTGTTTTTCATCAAAACACGTTTTCCAAATCTATTATTTACGTATAATTGAACCATCAGCAACACTTGGACTTCTTGACAAATTTATGAAAAAAACCAATTCTTCCTATAGACTTATAGAGAATACCAAAAATCCCTTTTTCAGTATTGGAATGCATAGTATATAGTGTAGTCATTTAATATATCATAATTTCCTCTTTTCAAATGATGGCATATACCCAGCAAATAATGGGGGCGTTGGGATGTGAACCGTTGAGGAAATGGACTGCCAACGGGTTCTGGAACCCATTCTCAGAATGGTTGGGAGCAGAGCCCAATAGTCAACACTTTTAAAGGAATAAATGAATACATATAAATCTGTGAAATGTGTGTTCATCTTCATGAATCCAACAATACTGTACTCCAGAGAAAGACACGCACAATGCAATGCACAAAAAGTGTCATCCAACATCAAGCCCTTATACAAATGGTACCTTGCAATTCAATCTTCCACAATTTGACTGTCCTGCAATTTGATGGTTGAGTTTGCAGCAAGGTTGACTAATTGCAATTCAACCTGCATTGGCCACTTTTTTGCATTTTTGTACCAATATTTTTGAATTTCACACAGTGTCTTGTAATTTGATCACTGCAATTTTACCCAAGGTTGGCAATGGATTAGAGCCCAATTTTGAGTAACAACCTGTATTTTCTTTCATATACAGTACCTGTACTGTACATGGAAAGAAGTAGCAAACATGAAATGAGAATTCAGCATTACAACATTTCTTCATATCAACAGTTTTCTTACTGTCTATACTACAGAGAATTTGTAGATTGATTGCTTACCCCAATAACCCTAATCTATATAATTATTCAGCAAGGCAAGGCAGGAGCATGTAAAAGAAATAAATTAAATCTGGTCATGATCTTACTGAAATCATGTTACAGTCAAACAACTGAAACATGCCCTGTGCTGCTAACCTCAAAACATATTTAGGAAACAAGAAAACTCAACATTCATTATCTGATCATGAACTCATAATATTCTTCAGAAAGATTCTTCATTAAAAAGCTCTATATTTTATTTGAAAGAAATAACCTAGCAAACTTTGTGCATGCCTTGCCTTACATTACTGAATTTCCTGAAGTTCAGTTTAAAATTCAAAAGTGATATATGGAACCTGTCAACCTGTGTTTCTTTTGTTAGGAAAATATTGTGCTTTTGTACATTCCAAACAGTCCTGTATATATTGAGAAAATCAAGAATGTGCAGTATTATTAATCGGCAGTAACTTGCCTTTGTTGGAATCCTCATTACAGTACTGAACAATAATTCTTCACTTCAAAATTCCAAGTTGGTTTTTGGAAAATAAAGGCTCAATCGGATATACCGTTATTCTGAGGATGTAAACAGGAAGAACTCAGGGACCTATAGAGTTTCAAATGTAGATGAAATGCCTCAAAATATTCAAATGGCTATTTGGAACGATTTTATGAATAGCTGATTCACCCTTCTTTTCTGAAGTGAAACCAGTTTGGTGAAGATTCTTGATCTGTAGTGACAATAAGTAGCAGAGCTTGTAAAACACAGAGATGAGAGTCTTGTGGGAATCCTGTTTCTTTTATGTTTCATTCCTCAATGAAAAAAAGGTAAAAAAAAAAAGTTTTGGATAAATACTGGAGGAAGGAAGAATGAGTGAATGACGTGACAAGACACGCAGTGGACATGAGGGTCGCATTTTACATAAACCTCAGTCCAAGGTCTCCAGCTCAGGGTTTCCACACTGTTCTGGGTCTTTTATTTTACTCCAACACGCGATTCCATGTTCAACGTTATTTTTCCTTCTTTGCAAGTGAAAGAAAAATATTAACTTGACTGAGGGACTCTGTTGTCTCGACCTTTGATCTGTGGAACTTGAGTATAAAAGCCAGGCGGGTTCATTCATGCCATGTTCAGGTTCTTGCTGCTCATCGACTTTTAAACTTGAAAAAATCCGTGCTCAGTGATTTTTTTTTCTCTAGAGCTAATTTGAAAAAAATCGATTCTATGTTTTGTTTATTTCAGATCTTCCCTTATAAATATATTATATTCCTATTCTTTGTTTGTCTAAAACAGCTTTGTTATCTGAAACAAAGCTGTTCTTATTTCCCAAGTTTGTGATACTGAAAAAATCTCAAGATGTTGAACAAAATTTGGTCAGTGTTGTGTGTGATTGTTGGGATAGCTCATGTTGGGATTGCACTTCTGATCAACTCTGATATCCCTGGGAGCCTTGAAAAATACCAGTGTGGTGAGTTCAAATTCATGGCCTCCCTTTTTTATGATGAAGTAAGCATATTTAACATTTTCGCTATTTATTTTATTTAGATGGAATTGACACGGCGTCGAGCAAAGTTGTAGTGGATGTCAAGTGTCCAGATACAGATTCCTTGTTTGTTGGGGAGCAACAAATTGAAGGCTGCAAGATGAGAGCTGGGGATGTGCTGGTCATCAATCTCAGACTAACGCCATGTAAATCTTGGGAAAAATCTCATGAAAATGGTTTCGATAAGATGTGCTTGTTTTCGTCTACAGCTGAAAGTTTCGAGGTCTTGAATCAGGCAGCAACTACGAAATTAGGCACTAGGCCAGTGGGTTTGGCCGGGGGGCTCCCAAAGGTGGCATGTTCTGGCACACCGGACGCACCCTGCGCTTCACCTGGCATCCCTTTCGAGCACACCGCTCGACTCGAGCTTCCTCCTCTCATCCCAATTCATGTGAGTTAATGGAGTATCTGTTTCTACTTCCGAAAGTGAATTGAACCTGAGTTTCTTAATTGCAAACATTTGTGATAATTTGAGACTAAAGCTACTTATTAGCGATAGTGATCGCTAGTGTGCATGAAGCGGGACGTTAAGTGCAAGAATGTTTGTGTGCTCGAATATACAGTATTGGCTGAAAGTAAGTTCCATGTAGATCCTGCGAAACGCGCAAAAAATTGGCTTCTCGTTCCGTGATTTTTAAAAGCAATCTAAGCTGTTCTATGATGAGTAGTATCAGTGACGAATAAGTGAATAACCTTATTGAAATTCTCGTAGAAAAGCATTTCGTCAAGTACTGTAGTGAAATAACGTATAATGTTTCATGCAAATTTGAATCACCTTTCGAATGCTGTTATTATATAAGTACTGTATGCTTTTGGAACTAAGTAAAGATCTTCAGCGTCATTGAAAACGCAAATCTTCCAAGTTATCAAGGCCACTTTGTTTGCTGAGTGTACCAAGATTTCATGTTGAAATTTCTCTTATGCTAAAAATATGCGTGCACTTTGGAATCAACGAAATTTTACGCTTTATTATGAAATTTGAGACAAAATCATGCGAATGTTGTGTTCATTTGCTTCCAGCTGAAAGGGAATTTGGCAAGATATTTCTTGAAGGACAACACAACCGGGCGGTACTTGTTCTGCATGGATTTGCCAGTTTTCATTCCTGCAAGTGTCGCAAAACGGATCAAGAAAGCTTAATTTTGAGTTGTCCTCGTACAGAACCTCATATTGGCCAGCAGGGAAGAATATGGTAACTTAAATTCTCGTTATGCGACTTATTCCACCATTCGCGAGTTTTTGGGGAAAGCAGGCATTGAAAACACGAAATTTTACGCATTTGTTTGTTTGGGAACGTCAGGAAATGCAAAGCAAAGAATTTTTATTTTGTGAGAAAAGAGGGTCTTACTCCGTTTCGAAATTTCGTTTCATTTTTCCCAAAGTCGTTCGCCTCTCCAGCACCAATATCTTGACCGCGAATATATGATATATGTTACCAGTGAATACTGAATCGTTCGTCAATTCAAGACAACGAAACCCTTTCAGCGAGGAAACAAAAATAATCGCGCGCAGATTCAAAATAAAATTCTTCCGACCAAACTTTGTACTTGTCAAAACAAGTCGATGAACCTTCCAGAAAGGGGGAAGAACACAACGAAATTTTCTGCAGATATTTCGTAAACTCGGTTCATATCACAGAATAACGCTTTTTTTAAGCAAAAAACTTCCTCTCTCTTTTAGCTCCTAGAAAAAGGAGAGGGGAAAAACAGGGGAAAGAGGATGAAACAAAGGAACATTGGCACAAAGAGAAAACATTCCGCCAAGTTCGTGTCATTGCCCTCTCTCACACGCAATATGGGAATCCTTTGTGAATGGAGGGCACACAAAAATCCGGCTCTATATAAAACGCATTCAACACAATATAGGGTTGGAATCCTTCAACAAAATTTTAGAAAACTTCGTTCAAGCAAGGCTGTCAATGACTGTCCTTTGACGCAGCAAGGTTTGTGGTTCCGTGATGAATCGTTTCGTCGGCCGTTGCTTTTGTCCGATCTGAAAATTCCGTTCTCGTTGTAAAACTAGATAATCGAAGCAAATCATTTTAAAGGAGCACTCACTTCATGGTTCCGTTTCTGCAGTAAGAATTGTTTTACTGCTTCCATGACACTTGGCTCAACTGACGGCATGGGAGTCGTTTGCGTCGCTGTCGTCGCCGTAGTTTTTGTTACTTCAACTATACAATTCAATTTAAACGATAAAATTCTCTGAACGTTCTTTCTTTATTCACCATTAGCTAACCTGTTGTCGGAGCGGTTGTACTTTTCATGGGCTGTGTTTTGATCGACTCCTTATCGGGTTTCGAAGCGGTTTTCTGACGGGTAATCGGGAACGGTTCAGGCATCACTTTCTTTAGCGAGTTCTTTTCAACGATTGCGGCATTGACGGATTTCGCAGGAGTCTCGGGAAATGACTGCTGATCGTAGTCAAAATTGTTCCCCCAATGGTTTTCATTATTGGCTAGGTACTCCAAAAACGCCGCGGCATCCGCATCCGGAACGTAACCCGGATCCAACAGCTCGTTCACCTACGGCAGAAGGTATACGCCATCACGGTATTTTCTAGCGATATTCCCCAATTTTTTGTTTAGCCAATGTGACAAGTCGATGAATCACGTACGTCATGATCACTCTGATGACACAACTATACAGTATGGCGTATCAACATCCAACATGAATACTGTGGTATAAGCCGCACTTTATTTTCGTGGCAGCCATTCCGTAGAAAGACTCGTACACTATGCTGTGATTAATTTTTTAACCGTTAAAAGATATCTTACAATCTGAGTCACGACGAATCTCAAATCGTACGTGGAATACGGGTCACACCAGCATTTTTATGGGAACCGTGTGTTCTACATTCAATGAATGCGATGATAGATATCTATCGAGAACCTAATCTGGTTCTATGCTGTATAATAGCAGTTCATTCAAGTGGACTACTGACACGTTCCATTTGATTACTGCATATTCATATGTCATATGTATGAGGCGCATTGGGATACATCGATCGTGAATGTCCAGCAATAGTTCGCTCCTTTTCCAGCAAATTTACCTCTCCGTATTGTGCTACAGTGAATTCTGAGCAACAAGTGTGAGTCATGGACGCCGCCATCTTGACTCAGCGTATTCTACAGTTTCAAAGAGCCTACGAGTTCGTCGAGCAAAATTTGAGGCCCTGTATTTTAAGAAACGTGAAATATAAAAGCTTAGTTACCTGATCCGGAGATTCAGGCTCCTTTTGTTGCAGCGACTGTTGCTGGTTGTAGTTATTCTCAGCTGCCTTTTGCAGCAATGGAGCGAGTTCTTCGAGAAGCTCTTGCTGCAGCTCATCTCCATCGATCACATCATCGTCTTCCCGCATTACAGCAGATCCAACGAAGTCGTCAACAGGAGGATAAAAGCTCTGTCTCAGGGTTCGGTATGGCTCGTCAGCAACCCGTTTCTGGTAGGACCTGAACCCGGGTTCTGGTTCGTAGTAGGATATTTTGCCCAGGCTGTAGCTCGAAGTTGCCAGTG